CGGGTGCCCGGAAACCAACCTTCTCGCAAGTCACTCCTCGACCGTCCTCCAGGTCCTCGGGTTGCTCGTCTTCTTGGCGACGTCAAGCTATTTTGTGATTGCTCTTCTTCCAAATCTTAGCCTCATCAGCCGATCTCACAAGTCGACTTGAGGGTCTTAAGTCGTTACCAAAACTCGACTTAAGGTCTTCGAGTTGCGATCATTCCAGCAACTATAACGGGTCGGCATGCTTAACCCGAACCGTCATAGGCAGCTCGACTTACTGTCCGATCAAACTGTCAACACCGGTCTGTGCGAGTATGGCTATGTCAGAGTAAATGAGATAATGGAAAAGTCAAATATATATGGGATTATATATATTTGGGGATAAGACAGTGGGACCATATATTTCCCATTTAATAAAATTTAAATTATGATAATTGCAATTTATTTGCACTCTTATCCTGTTTCTCCAAATATGCTTACCCCATCATGCTATCTCCTTGAAACTAATTTAATGACCTTTTTTCTCTTAATAGTGCTTGTTAAGAATTAATTCCACTTCTTGTTCAAAATCCCGATTAACATTCCATAATTGCTTTCAGGGCCATTTTGGTAATCTACTACTCCTCCAAAAACCCTAACCGCAGGAAAGAAACACAAAAGCGGGTCAAGGAAGAAAAAACAGTTTAACCCAATAAGACTCCCAACTTCAAAATAATTTTTTTTTAAGGTAAAATGATTAACTTATCTTTTACTTCATAACAGGATGAAAATAAAACTCTGAATTGTCGATAGTTACGATACAACTCAAGTTGTGTAAAAAAATTGACCCCAACTTGAGCCCTTAACGAGCCATTAATCGAACTAGAGTTCAACTTATCAATATTAACAGATTAAGATTGAATTGAAGTTGAGGTTTAACATGTGAAATTATAAAAAAAATACATAGACTGTATTATGCTAGTTAACTAAATGAGCTCGAATTCGAGCTAAAACAAGCACGTAAACGACTCGTTTTGTTAAACAACTATATTTGTCTAGTACAATTTTATTAAACATTTGATTAGGGTGTAAGCGCCACGTGGTCTGCCTTAGTGAGGTGATGATGTGTACTCGTAACCGTAGCCTCCCTATTTATTCGCTTCGTCCTCATCCATTCTCTCTCACTAGAAATACAGGTTGAGGTACTCCTAGAGAGAGAAAATAAGCCCACACACACAGCGGAGCGTATTTCTGCGTCTTCCGGCGACCGTAATTTTGTCGATTGCTTCTCCGATACATCCTCTCTTGACTCGAGATCCGAGCCAAGAACAGAGGAATTTTTCTGGGCTCGTGAGAGGTTAGGCTTTGAGTGTGCGATTGAAGTGAATCGTGTTTCTGTTTTTTCGGTATTTGTAACTGTTCATCTGTTTGTGGATAGGGTTTTGCTGAGATTATTAGGAGAAAATGGCTAGCGGCGAGGGCTTTCTGACGGAGGAGCAGAGGGAGACGCTGATGATTGCATCACAGAATGCGGAGGTGATGTCGTCGTTGCAGGCGTCCTCGCCTAAATCCCCTGGCCCGAAGTCTCCCGGTCGGAACTCGTTTATGCTGTCCGAGCACCACCATCATGTGAAGGCGCCGAGTGGGGGCCATTCGGCTGCGGTGGGGGGCGTGGCTGTCAGACACGTCCGCCGCTCGCACTCTGGAAAGCATATCAGAGTTAAGAAGGGTAATGTTATTAAGGTTTACTGTTTTGATGCTTATTGTTGAGGGTTTTTGTTTGTTCGCTGCTGGTAACTCGTCTTTAGTGTTTTGGATTCTTTATTGATGCTCCTTGTAGTGTTTGATTTAAGTGCTATACCTTCTGTGTATAGTTGTTGGGGATTGGGTGGAGTTGGTGTGAAGTTGTGTGGCTTTTTTGTTTGTTGAATCTGGGAAGAGATCTACTCAACCGGGTTTTGATGATTTAGTTCTTGCCATTGAATATCTGTAAGTGAAATGGTGCTTGGTGCTAATAAGTTTTGATGATTTTGTTCTTAGTAAGTTTGATATCCTTGATCGTGTAATTTGATGGTGCTTAAGATAGTGTTGTGTGCATACGTATAACATTCGTCTGTGTAACTTTGTGATATTTCTTGTTTGCAATTGCTTTAGCTTTACCTTTGAGAGGATTAATGTTAATATGCTGTTTTGGGCTTGGTAGTCAAACACGCGTCGTATATGCAAGAATGTGATTGGGTATTCCGTGGGAAATAAATTTGGAAATGTTTTTATTGGTGGATTGTCATCTTAGAATGATTTTATGGGTACGTATGTATTTTTAACTTATTCGCTATAACTAATAGCTTCGGTAGTTCTGATTTTATCTCGACAACTATAAGAACGTAGTTATAAATGCTATGTGTTAACGCTCTTAATTATTTAATTTCTGTTATTGTTTGGCATGTTGCCTTATCTTATGTCGTCGTCTGAGAACTTTTCTCATCTTGTACGAGCGTTTAAGTTTCTAAAACCTACTCTGGCTTTCATTTTATGTGGGAGGCACTCAATAATGCAGAAAGTTATTTTTATTAATGATACAAACGATAGTGACTTACAGAAACCAGAAAAGTGGAGAAAGTGAACAGTTGATAACATTCTGATCCAAATGCTTATCCCTTTCTGGTGCTTTCTATAAATGTTCTGCCTTCTCGTAGTGGTCTATTGAATTGGCATTGTCGTCTTCCTATTAAGGCAAGTTAGGAGGCATGTGATCTACTTAATGCTCCAGCAAAACCTAACTTACTTGTTAGGTTGGTCGTCTATTGCTTGTGGATTGCCTAACATTCAGTTTCAAAGCAATTTGACTGTCTAATCTAGCTGACATGGTCCATTTCAGAATTCTTATTTTCTAACTTCACTTTTTATTTCAAATAAAGAAAATATAAAATCCAACTGTGAAGTTATCTTGTGTCGTTCTTGTATTATTCTGTGTCTGTATTGCCCATATTTTTCATGAAGATTTTGAGTAGCCATTTTTATTCTCTTGGAGATATTAGGAATGAAGAGAGCGAAACCCTGGAATGTTGCAAGTTTTATTGGAATTGTTTGACTGATTCTGCTTCAAATCAGGGAAATGTGCTCCGCATTAAGCTTCCACTTTGATCGTGCTTTTTTGCAACTTTCTTGGCCAAAGAGGCGACCTTCATTTTCTTGTTTGTTAATCTTATGTAGCTTTATGTTCAATTTTGTTCCTACAACCATGTGGTCCTTGCTCGGTTATATTTAAACTGGTTTAACCTGGACTGTCGCAATAGATGGTGCTGGCGGCAAAGGTACCTGGGGAAAATTACTCGACACTGATGGTGATTCTTTTCTTGATAGAAACGACCCAAACTATGACAGTGGAGAGGTAATCTCTTGTATTCAGTATCTTTTCTTTCAGCCTGCTTTCAAATCTTCGTCCACACACACACTAATTTTGCCCTGTCGCCTGCACAGGAGCCTTATGCCCTAGTTGGATCAACCGTCTCGGACCCTCTGGACGAATACAAGAAAGCTGTGGCATCTCTTGTAGAGGAATACTTCACCAATGGCGACGTTGATGTTGCTGCCTCCGATCTTCGAGAGCTCGGGTCAAGCGAGTACCATCCCTACTTCATCAAGCGCCTTGTATCTATGGCCATGGACAGGCACAACAAAGAGAAGGAGATGGCTTCGGTTTTGCTGTCAGCCCTTTATGCTGATGTCATAGGCGCAGCACAAATCAGCCAGGGCTTCTTCATGCTGCTCGAATCTGCTGATGACCTTGCGGTTGACATACCGGATGCCGTCGATGTTCTGGCCCTGTTCATTGCCCGCGCAGTGGTCGATGACATACTTCCCCCGGCCTTCATCACCCGGGCCTGCAAGAAGCTTCCGGAAGCTTCCAAGGGTTTCCAGGCCCTTCAGACAGCCGAGAAAAGCTACCTCTCAGCTCCCCACCATGCGGAGCTCGTCGAGCGGCGCTGGGGTGGGACCACGCATTTCACGGTCGACGATGTGAAGAAAGAAATTGCCGATTTACTGAGGGAATATGTCGAGAGTGGGGACACTCCTGAAGCGTGCAGGTGCATCCGGCAGTTAGGCGTCTCGTTTTTCCACCACGAGGTCGTGAAGAGGGCTCTGGTACTGGCTATGGAGATTCGCTCGTCCGAGCCTCTCATCCTGAAACTGCTAAAGGAAGCAGCTGATGAGGGCCTGATAAGCTCGAGTCAGATGGTCAAAGGCTTTTCCCGGTTGTCCGAGAGCCTGGACGATCTCGCCCTTGACATTCCCTCAGCAAAAACAATGTTCCAAACCATTGTCCCTAGGGCGGTATCCGAAGGATGGCTCGACTCATCTTTCGCCAAAGCTTCCAATGAGGATGGCGGGGATAGAGATCCGGACGAAAACGACGAAAAGCTGAGGCGTTACAAAAAAGAAGTTGTCACCATAATTCACGAGTACTTCCACTCGGACGACATTCCCGAGCTAATCCGAAGCCTGGAGGATTTAGGTATGCCCGAGTACAACCCAATTTTCCTCAAGAAGCTAATTACCCTCGCCATGGACCGTAAAAACCGAGAAAAGGAAATGGCTTCTGTCTTGCTCTCCGCCCTTCACATCGAGATCTTTTCCACCGAGGACATAGTCAACGGCTTCGTGCTCCTTCTGGAGTCGGCCGAGGACACGGCCCTCGACATTCTCGACGCATCCGATGAGCTGGCATTTTTCCTCGCGCGGGCTGTGATAGACGATGTGCTGGCGCCTCTAAACCTGGAGGAAATCAGGAATTTGCTCCCTAGCAACTGCTCGGGTAGCGAGACTGTGACCATGGCCCGGTCGCTCATAGGCGCCCGCCACGCAGGCGAGAGGATCCTGCGTTGCTGGGGTGGTGGAACCGGGTGGGCCGTGGAGGATGCAAAGGACAAAATCCAGAAGCTTCTGGAAGAATACGAGAGCGGGGGAGCGGTGGGCGAGGCCTGCAGGTGCATTCGGGACCTGGGGATGCCGTTTTTCAATCACGAGGTGGTGAAGAAGGCGCTAGTGATGGCTATGGAGAAGAAGAATGATCGTATGCTGGACTTGCTCGGGGAATGTTTCAGTGAGGGGCTGATCACGATTAATCAGATGAGCAAAGGGTTCAACAGGGTGAAGGACGGGCTGGATGACCTGGCGCTTGATATCCCGAACGCGAAGGATAAGTTTGGGTTTTACTTGGAGCACGCGAGGGGGCACGGGTGGCTGCTGCCGTCGTTCGGTTAGGGCTTTTTAAACTTTTTTCTTAAAAGAAAAAGAATTTCCAGTGCATGTTTTGGTCTTTTCTTGTTGATTTTTACTTTGTTTGGACCTGTTTTCGTTTGTTATCAGGAGCGCTCTGCTCTGATGGATCATTTTAGTTGTCTTTTTTCATCATGTTTTTGGTTGTTGTGGAGATGTTTGGTTGAATTTTAATGAAAGATGTTTATGAATATGCGCTTTGGATTTGTTGGATTTTAATCGAAGTTCGTCCGCAATAATATATAGTTTATTTATAACTTTTAATAGAAAACTATAAAATGTTAAAGCATATACGTATTTTTTTTTTTTTAGCTTGAATTATTCGAACAAATTGAATCAAGTAGTTATAGACTACTTCAATCACGAGCTCAAAAATGCAAAAGCTCAACTCATTCGGCTTCAACACGAATTAGTCTATATAGCAAGCACTTCTTCCTTTCCTAAGTTGCCACTGAATATAAAAACTTTCGCCTCTGCTGAAGAAAAAAAGAAAAACCCAGCCGCTAAAAGAAGAAAAGCTCCCGCCTCTCTTTCTCCTCTCGCACGTCTCCCTTGACATTCGTCTCCGGCCTACTTTGGTGCCCGTGAGATTGGGTGTTGAGCCCCCGTCACCCTTTCGTTCAAGTTGGGCTTAGATCTAGTTCATTTTTTATTGGATTTGCCTAGCCATTAGCCTTCCGGAGTTTCAGAGTAGTCAGATCTTTAAAGGAAAATTCGATTTGCAGTTCTTTTTCTGTTGGGCGATTGGTCAATCTATGTGTCTGTTTGTGTTTGTTGGAGCTCGTCGTGGTTAATTGTCAATGGTTGATTTCAGCTCGAAATAGTAAGTTCATAATGGTTGTTTTCAATCTACGTACATAAAGGAAGTTCATCAAATTAGTAAATTCATCAAAATATACTAATTTATGTTGGAAAGGAAGTTCATCAAATTAGAGCATCTTCAATGTGGGAATGTCCACACTTAAAAATTGTAGCCACAAGGAATAAAATAAATGAAACAGTCAATATGGAATTATTCGGAAAGAGACTAAAAGTCTTAGTAATTTCCAATGCTCTATTTTTGGCACGTTTATTCTTGACTCAGACTGTCCAATACATAGGCACACAGTGAACTTGACTAGTGTTGTGCCACGTCAAAAAAAATTGGCCCACGACAGAGTGCATTGTAAATGAAAATATGAAGACATTGTAACATGGCATAGATTTTTTTTTTTCATTTAACAGCCTACGGAGATGCTCTTAGTAATAAGTTCATCAAAATATACTAATTTATGTTGGAGAGGGAAATGGAAATGTGAAATGCCCATAGTACCCTTACCTATTTCTTTTAATCTCAGGGCACACTTTCCCCAAAAATTTCTCAGAGCACAAAATCCTCCAAATTTCCAAAGCTAAAAAACAAAATTAAAATAAAACTCCAATTTATCTTCCTTCCGACGAGCATGTCTGGAAATCACCCTGCCGCCGGCGCCGAATCTCTCGCCGGAGATAGCTCCATGAAGCCTCCACCTCCGCCGCAGAGGCCGTTTGTCATGGCAGACCTGAACGTTGACCCGCCTGAAGCAGAGACCGAAGCTTTTCCTTCTCCGTCGTCATCTGCTCCTGTTTCGAGGTTTTGATTTAATTTGCATTTTATGAATTTGGCTGACTTTTTGTGTAATGGCTACAAGAAAGATAAGAAAAAATAGAAGCATATTTGTGCCTATCGAAATTATGTGTAGCCTATAGCACGATTCATCTATGCTAGTACTGTCTGTATCGTTTGTGGCGATTTTTACTCGCTTCGTGTTTTTATATGAATATGTATGAATTATGTGCACTGAAGTTTGTGGTGGTATAGTGTAGCTGAGAATGAGAAGAAAGTGAGTAAAACAACCGTCATTGAACTTTGATGTATGACTGTTCATTTCAGGTCAGGAGTGAGCTTTAGTTCTGTTTGTGGTAGGCTTCCTTGGAGCTTTTGTTACAATGGGATCCGATGTATATGAATATATTTAAAAATCTCAAAAGCTAGAAGCATTTGCTCTGAAAAAGTTTGGACTGGTTAGAAGTGCGATAGAGTCGTTGGATGTGTCTTGAACCTCATAAGTAATGTTAAAGAAGAGTTGGTCTCCATTGCTTCTATAGACTATCCAGTCTTATTCCAAAATGCACGACTCGACTCTTTTACTATAAATACTTTGAAGTAAATGTTTTCCTTTCTTTCATGTATGCGTACTTTTCCATATCTGTTATCATTGAAAGACTAGTTTCTATAGTGACTATAAAGAACAGGTCCTTTTGATATTAAATAGTCTTTATGTCTAATCGAAATTTTATTCGGGCTACGGGAATGACTATCTCAATTCCTAGGATAACTACTGATGAGAAAATTATAGAGAAAACGAGCTTGACGGACAAAGATGCTGAGGCAATGGAAGTGGAGGCACCCCAGTCCAAAAGAACCATAAAATGCCGTTCAAAGAGTGGTAAGGTGGAGTATCCTCCTGATAGCGGTGGAGCTGAAATAGATGTGGATCAAAATGTTCAAGGAGTTGCTTCTTTTCGTGAGGAAAAAGTTAGCAGCCTTAAAAATGTGAGATTTATTTCACAGCTCCTGTATAATATCACTATTAGTCCTGGGTAGAGACAGTAAGAAAATAAAAAACTGGGAAGAGTCACTTAAGAACCAGTCTCACAGAATTGAGCAAGTCCAGCAGTTCATTTTTAATGTCAGTTTTTTTATAAAGGAATAAATAGAGAGAAGATAGTAATTGAAGTTCCACCACAATGTTATAAGCTAAAAGTATTGATGGTTAAGTTTTAACATTTTGCAGATAGCCAAAATTAGTTTGAGTATATACACTATTATTCCCTTTTTTACTTGTGAATTCATTTATTATAAAGTAAAGGTGGCTGATACATGACATTCCGAACATGAATTTTAATTGAGGAACGTACAATAATTTATGTCACGTGTTCGAGATCACGCAGATTTGTACGACAATTAATGTATGTGCAGGCTTCGTAGATGAGCCTAAAATGGGAATTCGGTGGGTCTTTTTATTTTCCGATTATAAGAAGTTTTTGTAGTAGAAGGGCTATTGGCATGACTTTGCTAAAATTAACATAAATGTTAACATTTTGATGCTTGATACAATTCTCAGGGACTGATTCATGTTGCAAAGAAGATGCCAAAAAATATGCATGCTCATTTTATACTTGGTTTGATGTATCAAAGGATGGGTCAACCTCAAAAGGTACTGGGTCAAATGTTCATTTCATGATTTTAAATTATTGAACCCTGAAGCAGTATATTCAACTTGTGCATTGTCTAGGCTATTTTGGCCTATGAAAAAGCAGAAGAGATATTGCTTCGATCTGAAGAAGAAATTGACCGACCAGAGTTGCTCTCTGTGGTTCAACTTCATCATGCACAGGTAGACAACATTTATTGCTAAAATATGATGAGTTCATATAAAAAATATTAATCCTACTTCTTTTGCCTTGGTTCAGCTTCATCACGAAGTAGTGGAACATTCACAATGCTCAAAATCATATTGAGTTCATTTCTCCTTTTCAACTAATTAACCCGGTTGCTTAATTTCTATTTTCCTGATACATGTTTAATTTTGTACGACACATCCAGTGTATATTGTTAGAAAGCTTGGAAAATTGCAGTTCCGATAAAGAACTTGAACCCCAAGAACTGGATGACATTTGCTCCAAGCTAAGGGAATCGATAGAGTTGGATGTTAGACAAGCATCTGTTTGGAACACGTTAGGTTTGATACTTCTTCGAACCGGCCGCTCGCAGGTGCGAACACAATAAACCTCTCGATACATACCTCCTTTATATGTATTGTAAGTGAAATTTATATTTAACATGCTCCTGATCCTTCTATAGAGTGCTATATCTGTATTTTCTTCATTGTTGGAGATTGCCCCTGACAACTTGGATGGCCTTGGAAATCTTGGGATTGCCTATCTTCAAGGGTAAGAAGGATATATACTCAAGAAAAAGTCATCCAAGATAGTGGACATAATGCAATATTTCTTTAACTATGAAAGTCTAGGGAAGCAAATGGCACAGAAACTGACCGTTAAGGATTTTCATAAGTCTTTATACAATGCTAATTTGGCAGTTTTTTTATGACTTTTTTCCAGGGGGTACTTGGAAGATTCAGAAAAGTGCCTCCAAGATTTGCTTATGAAGGATCAGAACCATCCCTCAGCATTAATAAACTATGCTGCCCTACTTTTATGTAAGTATGGCTCAGTTACTAAAGGTGAGGACATTAATCATAACAAAGTTTTGGGATGTTTTGCATTTCCTGTTCTATATAGATGCTTTTGGGAACGAATGGATAGATTGCACTTTCAATGCCATAAAACAAGCATTATTGAATGTTTCAGATTTTTTACTTGTCAGTTTTCAATTTAGAACAGCAGATTACAGAACTACCCAACACTTGGTCTAATTTAAAAAAGAAAAAATGATTGTCTTCTAAGGTTATAAAAAGTCCCCATAAAAATTTGTGTGTTTTACAAAAGTGCACCCTGAAGATGGATATATTTATGAGGTAATTAAAAACATTAAGAAGGTGTAATTTGAAAAATACATGAATTTTCTTCATTTCCTCTTTTTTCTTTTTTAATTAGGCTAAACCTCTGGGTTGGGGTTTGTAGTTATTCCTTTAAAAGAGATGTACTGAATCCACGCATGATATATTTAGGTGCTGGGGCTGCAGGCGATGCTCAGAATTCTGAGGATCAGGTGGCAGCTGCTGATGTTGCTAAGGAGTGTTTATTAGCAGCCGTTAAAACTGACCCTAAAGCAGCTCATATTTGGACGAATTTGGCCAATGCATTTTCTTTGATAGGTGATCACAAAAGTTCTGGAAAATGCTTGGAAGCGGTATTTTCTAGCTCCTTTCTAATATATAAACCTACGGTTAAGTCTTCGTGCTTTGTCTTCCCTTGAGAGAAAATTACTGTTTGGTTTCTTGTTAGTCACATTTTACATGTTAAGACGAATACCCTCCTTATCTCCTATTTATTCACTTATTTTTCCTTAACCTTTTTTTTTCTCTCTCTCTCTTTTTGTTGCTTTTCGTTGTTGTATGTGTTTGGTTGTAAAGATTCTGAAACTTTGTGCTATTATTCTCACCTTAAACGCTATGGCTGTATATTGCAAATCCCAGGCTGTAAAGTTGGATCCAAATTGTTTAGCCACTCGATATGCTGTTGGGGTACACCGAATAAGAGATGCTGAAAGGTTCCAGAACCCTAACGAGCAGCTCACATGGGCTGGAAATGAGATGGCTTCAGTACTAAGAGAAGGAGATTCCACATCCACTGAGCCCAGCATAGTGTGGTCAGGACTTGCTCTGGCCCACAAGACCCAGCACGAGATTGCAGCAGTATTTGAGATGGATTCCAACGAATTATTGGAAGTTAAAGAACGTGCCATGTACAGTCTAAAGCAGGTATTGTTTTTATATAACCGTTTAATGTGGTTTATCATCTCATTTTCACAGCTGTGTTTTGGAGAACGGAAAATGGAGTTCAGGGGTTTTGAGAAACTAAATTGATAATTTATTTAGGCGTGACAAATCAGATTTTTGTTGCACAGAGAAGCAAAAACTTGAATACACGAACCTGGAATTTCTAAAATATTACTTTTATAGAAAAAAAACTGTGTGTGCCTACTGTGTATTTTGCAGTCTTATTGTTTTGAAATAACCCCTTCCTTTGCTTTCATGTATATAAAAGCTTGCCTGTGGGGCTAATATAAGTCTAGTACAAGCACAGTGCTAATATAAATGTCACAAACAATAATCAGGCAATAGGAGAAGATCCGAATGATGCTGTCCGGTGGCACCAAATTGGGCTTCATTGTCTCTGTACACAGCAGCTTAAATTGTCGCAGACATATCTCAAGTCGGCAGTGGCTCGTCTCAATGACTGTGTTTACACATGGTCAAATCTTGGTAACGTGATATATGTTCAAACTTTTTGCCTCCATCGGACGATGTGCTTGATTGATTAAATATTCTTCCCTTTGTTTAACTTCTCTTCCTCTACTTTATGAATACGTATGAATACTACCCTAGTGTTAGTGTGTTACAAAAAAGAGGCTTCGACTCTGTTAAATTCAAATATAAGCAAAAAATGACATTTTTTTTCACAAATGTAGAGCGGTGTTTGAAATGTTTTGCGCGTGTGAGCTGTAGTGTACAAGAACCAAAAGTTATTTTATTTTATTTATTTATTTTTTTAATTTTGCAATTTATTATCATCCTACTTTATAATTTTGTCTATATTCTTTTATATCAGGTATCTCACTTCAGCTATTGGAAGAGTCTTTACAAGCTGAACAAGCATACAAACATGCCCTATCATTAGCAACATCACAACAAGCCCACACTATATTTACCAACCTTGGCAACTTCTACCGACAGTTGAGAAAATTCGAAAGTGCAAAAGCAATGTTCAGCAAGGCTCTCGAGCTGCACCCTGGTTACGCACCTGCGTATAATAATCTCGGTCTCGTGTTCGTGGCCGAGGGTTTCTTTGAAGAAGCCAAGTTTTGCTTCACCAAGGCAATCGAGTCGGACCCGTTTCTGGATGCTGCCAAATCTAACATGACCAAAGCCAATGGCATGTCCAAAACGGACATGAACTTTCGTCCGTGTCGAATGTCCGAGTAGTTTGTGCGCTGCTGCTGAAGGTAAATACAAGATCTTTCAAGTATGTGCTGTTATGTTTTCAAGCAGTATCTATTTTCCACAATAGGGCAAAACAGTTAAACTTGGATGAGTTAAACTTTCATCCTCCAAATTTTTGTTCTGATGGGTGTGTAAATTGAGTAAGCATAATTTGTTTGTGGTGCCTTGTATAGGAAAATGAAGGGTGGGGATTTAGAAGAAACAAGCATTTGATTTGGGCATTGTAGAAGATGGATTTTATTTATTGGATCACAAACATTTATAAATACACTCACTCGTGCGAACGTGTGATGATCCAACGTGATTGGTAGCATGAAATGTACCGTAGAAGTTTAATGAGTTTACAATTGAAGTTGGTAAAAGGCACGAGCCGCTCGCTAGCCAACTCAGCTTGACTCGATTTGTTTGATAAACGAGCCAAACGATAATTCATTTAGAGCTTGTTTAATTAACGAATCAAGTTCGACTCGACTTGTTAATGCTCGAAAACAAGAATTTATGTAAATTTTTGTAATTCGGCTTGTTAATATGAAGAGTTGAACTCGAAATCGACTTGATTACAATTGAGCTGAGAAACGATTTTTCCAATCAAACCTAAATCTACCTGTAATTGAAAATGTTGCCAATTGTCCCAGGTTTTTTTGTTTTATTTATTTATTTTTTCTTGAACCTTCTTCAACCTATTGTCTCAAATGTCAATTCCACACACATATATAGTATATATATTCCCTCTCATTCAACACACGTTTTTTGGGCCCCTGTTGTTTTTTCCTGTGCATAGAATAATCCTCCTTTTCTCATGCAACAACACCGCCGGAAAAAAATAAAACCCCCCCAAATCCACCGCTAATCGCCGCCGCCATGAAAGCCGCCGATCTCCAGAACCCGCCTTCCCTCCTCCTCAAACCCCTCCTCCTCTTCGTCTCCCTCCTCTCCCTCTCCTTCATCGCCTTCCTCTCCCTCCAAACCCCGCCCAAAACCACCTCCATGGCCACCGCCGCACCCGAAACTCTCCCGCCGGATCTCAAGATCCGTCCCGGCTACACCTCCTACGATGCCTACCTCCAGCGCCAGCTCAACAAGACTCTCGACCCCCGCCTCCGCCAGATCTGGACCACCCGCGACTGGGACCGCAAGGTCGCCGTCTTCTCCGCCTTCTTCGACAGCCTCAAGCGCCGCTCCTTCCTCTCCAACGCCTCCCGATCCCTCTGCATCGGGGCGCGGGTCGGGCAGGAGGTCGCCGCGCTGAGGCGGGTCGGGGTGCCCGACTCGATCGGGATCGACCTCGTGCCCCGCCCGCCGCTCGTCGTGAAAGGCGATTTCCACCGGCAGCCGTTCGCCGACGAGAGCTTCGACTTCGAGTTCTCGAACGTGTTCGACCACGCGCTGTACCCGCGGCGGTTCGTCGGGGAGATCGAGCGGACACTGAGACCCGGCGGCGTCTGCGTGCTCCACGTGCTGGTTTCGAAGCGGGCCGACAAGTACTCGGCCAACGATCTGTACAGCGTGAAACCACTGGAGGCGCTGTTCGATAAATCGGAGCTGGTGGAGCTCCGGGAGATCGACGGGTTTGGGTTGGACACAGAGGTGGTTTTCCGGAAAAGGAAGGGTTAGAAAATAAATAAGTGAAAGTTGTTTTTGAGTCTGTTTAGTAAAATGGGGTTAATTGAGGGGTGTTATTTGGATTTAAACATTTCTTTTTTTTTTTTTTTTTTTTTTTTTT